AAACGAAACAGACACTCCCCGAGGACGATGAGAGACAGAATACTATCCTCTCGAAGTTTACCAAAGTGTGGCTGGTGGGAGGAAAAGTGGCCGAGCTAAGAGAAGGCAGATTGAGCTGGAAAGACTGGCACAACTCGKAAATTAGCCGGAGAAGCCCACTGCAACAAGCTGCGGGCTGCCAGCAGGACCCACAGGCGACATAAGGACATATACATGAGTCACAAGACACTAATGGTGGTCGAAATAGCAACGTTCGGACCGCTCTCTATTTTCCTTGTTGTGTTAAGATTATTTGACACATTCCCACAGAGGGATCTGAGAGGGATTGCAGTGGAAGGCAAGCTGACAGTCAATCCTCCTAATGGGAGCAATCAATGCTGGTCAGGGTTCCTTCGGCCAAACGGAAGGAAGCGTGAGTGGGTTGATGATGTATTCATTTTTGACTTGCCGGGGGAATAGTAACCGGACTGATGCTCCCCAGAATGGATATGGAGCCAAGACCATAAGGACCTGTTTAAAAAAAAAAAAAAACCCACAGATACGCAGGTTGGAGGTTTTGCAAATAGCCAGTGAAGCTCTTATTAGCTCAATAGCCAAAGCTTCAGCGCATCCATCACGCTGGTCTCCATTTTTTTTGGGCACCTGGCCTGGTTACCACGGCGACCTCCGATATTTTTCGTTCTGCAACGTTGGATGGAGAATCTCGTCGTCATGGTCATTTCCATCGATTGATGCAGCCTGACTCACCCACACGGGCCCACACCACTAATAACATCAGATACGGAAACTCCCGTTAAGCCCAGTGGGTGTTTAACAGGAGTGGTAGTCGGAGCGAATATAAATATTAGAAGTATTAAATAGTAAATACCCACACAATTAACCTTAGAGATGACCACACAGGCAACTCCAGTTTGGACCAGCGGGAGCCAAACGGTTGGCGGTCAAATAAATATAGATACCCACATAATATAAACAGGTATTAAATAACTAAATAATTTAATACCCGCATATTTTGACATAAGAGATGGCGAAACAGGCATCTTGGCAATTCAGCAAATAAAAGCACATCGGGAACACACGGAAAGAAAAAGGTGTAAGCCCAAAGTTGGGTTTTATGGACTACAACAATTTCTGGCATCCCTGATCGGTCAGGTCAAGAGCAGTGAGCCGTGATGATTAGCTGCAGTTTTTACCTTCATCAAGTTCCCTCTCCATATTTGTTATAGAACACTTTGGCTTATAGCCTTTCTGGAATTGATGGAACGAAAAAGAACACGAGCCAGCACGGGCTACACATCGTGATTTTGAGAGAGAGAGAGAGAGAGAGAGAGAGAGAGAGAGAGAGAGAGAGAGAAAGAGAGAGAGAGGGAGAGAGGCTATCAATGGAACAAAAAAAAAAACACGAGCCAGCACAGGCTACACAGGGTGATTTTGAGAGAGAGAGAGAGAGAGAGAGAGAGAGGCTATCAATGGAACAAAAAAAAAAAAGAGCCAGCACGGGCTACACAGGGTGATTTTGAGAGAGAGAGAGAGAGAGCATATACTGACATCGGCTGGACTCCCCACTGCCTCTCAATGCACTTCTCCGCTGTGCGATAGTAGGGATTCTGTGGATCAGCCAACCACCTGGAAACCGCACAATTCACAAAGGAGTACACGACGTATTTTACGTTGTTAGTGCCAACTTGCTCAAGGTTACTAGAAACAAAGACAGACAAGCTGAAAACACTTACCCACACTACGACTTTTTTTTACCAAGCTCTGGACGTGATTGCAGTCTGATTCCTGCAGCTGTGGCCGTAATTGCAGTCAGATGGGTTTTGGAAAGTGCTAGTGTGAAGTAATACTCAGCATGGCAGTATGCCTTAAAAAAAAAAAGGGAAACGCAAAATAGCAAAAATAAAACCCCAATCACCAAAAAAAAAAAAAAAAAAAACCTCTGATTGCATTTTGTTCTTAACACCAACATCTTGTTCTTAAGTTCTTAACATCAACACACAATCACATATACAACGAATTTCTGCAATTACTTGTTTAGCGGAACTTTAGCCTCAACTTTTTGATTATTTTTGACAAACAGTAGACTGTCAGTTGGAATCATAGATTTATACATGTCTTTGCCTTTAACTTGAATCTCTATATTATCTAAACAAAGAAAAGCAAAACTATGCGAGATACAAACACTTTGAATTGGATGAACAAGTTGATATACCAACTTTCTTTTTAATTTTGGGAACTACTCATCCAAATTCTGTAGAAGCATAACATCAACAGATTCAACATACAATCACATATACTATTATACTGTCGTCAAATTATATCAATACAATTGAATAACACTCAGGGAATCTGGGATACCATATCGTTACATGCACAAAGAATGTTGTCAGTTTGCAGTGTACCATGCACTGATATCAAGACTTTATAAAACTACAGACTCCAGTATCCCCTCATGCACTCCTCCCTCTGCCTCTCTATAGCCCTACCACACACCCTCCCCCAGCCTTCCTTTTGTGGCCAGAGGTGAACAAGATGCGACTGTCAAGAGAGCCTAGCTACTGCCATGAGCCCGAATGAGACAGAAACGCAGCTAAGTCCCTAGAGGCTCCCCTTGCCCCACATATGCTAGCCCCTAAGCCCAACCCCTCCCCACGCATTGTCAGTTTGGGGGGAGGGGGGGACACATTCTTCATGGGCCAGACAGTGAGCCAAGGTAATGAAAAGTGTCGTTTGGCAACAGTGCACCTTCTCTCCCCCATAAGCCTACCATCTTCACCCTAATAGAACGCCCAGTAGTTATAGCTGCATTTGGCACAACTTTCAGTCCAGATGCAGCAATAAATTTAATTTCCTGCGTCTTATTCAGGTGAAGACGGTAGCAATGAGAAGTGTCCTTTCAAGATTGCCTTGGACCTCAACAAGACCCTGCCCTTTGTGAAATCGTTAGGCACACAGAAAGCAGAGGTTCTGATTATCATGCGAGCCAAGGTCCCCATTATCATGGAATGCATATAACTGGCGCACAGCCAGAGGGAGGGACGGAAGGACGGGGGAAGGGACGGGGAGAGGACAGAGGACGGATGGATGGAATGATGGGTGTGCAGGCACACAAAGGAGCAGGTAGCCAGACAGGCGGGAAGAAGGCAGGCAGGCGGATTAATGGAGGGACAGGGATGCAGGTGGATAGTCACAGGGGTGCCAGAGGATGGCTGATCACATAGTGCTCTGCCGCCCTCAGAGTTCAGATGCTGGATCATCTCCCACCTGATAACCCATGACACATCTGCCAGGCATGTCAGGACTCAGTGGTATTATGAAGCAGAATGTGAAGTAAAGGTTGACGAGTGCTTAGCTAACCAATCATCAAAACGTGGTCTATTTGAAAGAAGATTACACTCAGCATCAGGATGAGAAAGATGGGCAGGCTTTTCCTTTCCGTTCCTTTTCTTGAAATTACACGCAGCATCAGGACAAAAGGAAACTATTTAAAAATTGAAATTAACAATTCAAAAAAAAAAAAAAATAACTGGGGCCACAACAGGCTGATATTGAAGAAGTGGTACCAGTCAGAACCACAAGGCAACGAACCTCTGAGGAGGTCACAAAGGGTGGCAGCAAGGGGAACACGGAACCCAGATACAACAAGCGCAGGACGGAAGCTGTCTTTTCTCACGATTCTTGTTACAGCAAGCTATGACCGACAGGCCCTAGAGTGGAGCCTGAGAGGAATACTTGGGAAGCGCAAGCTGACAGTCAATCCTCCTTTGTTGGGAGCAATCGATGCTCATCAGGGATCCTTCAGCCATACGGAAGGAGGCGTGAGTGTGTATACCATGTAATTCATTCTTGACTTGCCGGGGGAATAGGAACCGCACTGACGCTTCCCAGAATGGACAAGGAGCCAGGACCATAAGGACCTGGTTCAATTTACCAAAAACAAAAACGAAAAAAAGACGGAGGGCATTTTTCATTCTATGCATGTCATCCTAAATTTTAAAAATTTAGGATTAACTTGGACCATTTCGCATTCTTTGCATTTCATCCTTACCCCAGGGCCATCCTAATCTTCCATCTATCGTTCCAAACTTGGTGGATTGAATTGGATTCCCTGAAGGGGAAGATTGGCAGGTGCTTACCAGTCCCCAAGATGTATTTGATGAACCTCAATCTTGTTTCCAAGAGACCTCAGCTTCGCAAACTCGTGAAGAACATGCGACTTGAGCTTCTCGATGAGCCCGTGAGCATCCTGATTAGGTACATGCCGAATGACAACCTACAACAACCCAAAAACGGGAGGAAAACCACAAATATGCTCAATGAATAACTATGCACTTGAACAGAGTGCTTGATATGCTCAATGAATAACTATGCACTTGAACAGAGTGCTTGATGCAGAGAATTGCACGTGGAGGAGAAGGAATAGAAGAGTGGAGGGAGAGGAAGAAGACACAAAGGGAAGAAGAAAAGGAGGGGAACACAGGACGATGACAAGGAGGGGGAGGAGGCCACAGCTAAGTGCAATGCTGAAAATGAGGATATTGTGGCACAAGCAAGTGGTAAGCTTACCGCAACCAGGGAAGAAGAATCAATTACAATTCTTGAAGGATAAGAGGAGATGCCGGACGTCGATCTCCAATCAAACCCCTATTCGATAACAGCTTAACAATCCAGAACAATGTACTTCATACATACAGATACTCCAGATGAGTTATGCTATAGTACCCGCTGTCCGCTGTCAACTATGCACATCGAGGCAGACAGGCGTTTTGGAGACCGACATAGCTGTGGTGATGGTGGTGGGCCAGTGTGAAGAAGAGAGTCTGGATGCAGATGAGATCGCGGAAGAGACGAGGGAGGGGTGAACAAACCCAATCATCTGGGCCAATGCATAGAAAGAGAGGAAAGGGGGTATGGTGAGCAGGGGTTGGACACCAGACAATGACCTGGGAACAATTGAGATGTAGTTGTCTTGGCTGCAA